GGAGGAAGAGGGAGGAGGAGGAGGAAAAGGAGGAGGTAGCAGCCGCAGAGGCTATTGGCCTCTCCCTGTTTTTGGCCTTTGTGAAGGATTCTCATCTCGGGCATGAACACGACCTGGTATAAATCTCTCCCAGGAAACAGGGCTGCATGAAGATCCGACTTTATAAGCACAATGGCTTATGGTTAAACACAACAGTTAAATCCCAAAACACCCACATCCTCTGGCAAACTCCAAAATTACCCATTACCGTCAACAGGTCATTCTCTGTACAACAGACTGTCATGTCCTTCTAGTGAAGTCCTAGCAACATACCATACTCAACTCTCTCTAATGTTACTGACAATCATTCTTCCATCAGTTCTTCCAACCAGGTTTATGCTCATACCTTAAAAATGCACTTCTAAACATTAAAAATATCTTTGGCATGTTTTGTCCTTTATATGTCATCATTATTTCTTTATAATGATCACCATATTATTTCTTTAACAACACATACCTCTTTCGGTAAAGACACTAATTTATTTCTGTCTGCATTCAAGTTGCTCAACTTCTTAAGTTTTCCAATGCTCTTAGGTAAAGTCTGTTAAAATAATATTTTTGTTACAATAATATTTTTGTTATAGATTTATCACAAGCTTTTAACATGGCTGTTTAGATAAAAGCAGTTATTTACAAGGATGCAAGAGTATCAGAAAAAAAACAAACAAACAATACTTTTTCCTCAATACCAGATATTTCAATTGATCACTTTGGGGGAATTTAATTAAGCACTCTGAATTTCTGTTGACATCGCAGTAGCATGAAGGAAATGAGATCAAGGCAGGGACAGGAAACATTTAACATTTCCTCCATTTAAGAAAGTGAGGATTTATATGCTCAAGGTTCATCCCTGCCTGCCTACGTATCAGAAAACTACAGTAAGTTGGTGGCTTTGATGACTGTTGAGCCAGAGTGCTGCACAGGTGCTGTGTGGCCAGGGGAGCAGGAAGACCCGGGTGGGGCTGGACAAGGTGTGCAGAGCCTTCTAGGAGCAGGCTGGGCTCACATGGGGTCTCTGGCATGACAGTAGTGACTAAAGCTGTAGCTGTTAGGCTTAGTGTTTGTAAGTCTCAAACCACAGCTAAGCCAGGTCTGGGAGCTTCTAGTACACTGCCAGAGGATGGCTGAGGCAGGATGCCACTGTCCCCTTGCCCCTCAGTCTGATTTCTCGTTCTTCTCAGGCTGTCTTTCCCTGCTCAGTCTACCTAAAGAACACTCTTTTACTTAACAATATAAAAGAAAGTGGAAGGGGGGGGTGAGGGGTAAAAAGAAAAGTGCCAAAATGAAGACAATAAAAATTTTTAAAAAGCCCAGAATGCTCGCCTTTTAAAAAGGAGAGGAGGAAGCTTTCCTAGGAACGCAAACTGAAGACAAGGCGGTGGGTACAAGACAACTCAAGTGATAGGTAAGGAGATAAAGAGAGGTCAGGCCAGGTGAAGCAAGCAAGTAGCAGGAAGAGGACACAGCTGAGACTGGCCACTGCCCTGCCTTTGCCCTGGGCAGGGTGAGGGAGCCGGGTCTAAGTGTGGCCCTGGCCAGCCACGCCTTGTTTTTCAGGGGAAGATAGAAGTAGCCTTGTTCAAAGCTAACCAGACTCCATTCTGCAGCTCCCAATATGGAGCAGACTGAACACCAATTCCCCCAAGGCTTTCCCATTTCCTCTCCTGCTCAAAACACTCAGGAGAAGTCAGAGGAACCCTCGAACAGTATATGTCCACTGTGGCCTCAACGGCCTCAGCGATGCCAACACATCAAGCTTCTAGCCAGGTCTCACTGGGGACCTCTGGGAGGTTATCAGGTCAGTGCCTTTACTGCCAGCACCAGCACACAAGCCCTGACAGTGGACCCTTAAACACTCCTTTGCTTCTCTAGGCAAAGTTGACCTTCATGTCCCACACTGTAGGTATGTAGAATCTGCTGTCATAAGTCTTCATCACAACACAAAGGACACTCACCAGAAGATGATTTTCAGTAAGAACTAACTCTGTGAGATTTTCACAGTCCCCAATGGATTCAGGCAAGTGTGTGAGTCTGTTCTGATCCACCTTCAAGATTGACAGCTTCTTTAGTTTTCCTACAAAAGTGTCATTTAAAATCATTAGTCATCATTGTTTTCCTAATCAGCCCTTGTTACTTCCTATCAGTTGTTCTCTTGTTTTAAATAATTACTTAATTTTTTTCTTCACCTAGCTTTTCAAATTAAAACTACATCCATTACTTTCATTTAAATTGCTAAAAGTTGAGAGCTAGAGTAATTTGTTCAGAACATCAAAAAGTCACTAATTAGAAACAAATCATTTTAAAAGCCTCCCTAAAAATACCATGTCAAAGCCAGAAAATTTAATGAAGAACAAATAGTTGTCTCTTGATGGTGTTTTTAAGAGCAGGAGTTGTTTTGTACATGGAAGAGAACTTCATCTTACCCAGAGTCATCCTTACTAAAAGACAAAAAAGACAAAAAACAAAACAAAACAAAAAAACAGCTTACTAAGTCACCTGTGAATGAAATGACTTGATGAAGACCCTACAGAGAAGTGGTTTACGTATGCAGAACTAGGCAGCTCTGAAAAGCCATATTAACAACTGAGTCTAGGTCACTCTGAGCAGAAAGTCTTGACCTACTGGTGATGCCCACAGTACTCTGGAAAAAAAGAGTAAGACTAATGGCTCCTCCAAATCCCCACTGAAAAGAAGGAAAAAACTCAGATTCTTGCTTTCAGCTGAAGTCAGGGAAACAAACAGGGCAGGCACCCTTCAGTGTCTGCTGAGAGCCTAGCAAAGACACTTTCCTATCAAATCAGAAGGCCGCCTCCACACAAACAGAAAGCAGCAAGAGTCTGGGGAGAGTGAAATGGAGAAAGAACTTTTTGGCCCTGGGTACAGTCATGGAGCAAGGAAGGACTCATCAATTCTCATGCCCTTATTCAGCATAATCAATAATCTACTAACATAGTTGCAGGGTTTCTACATGCCCTTAGCTGTCTGGAGACATTAGCATGCTCCACAGGAACAGTTGAGCTTAAAACATGATTTTCTTTAACCAGATTCCCAGCAAGTTTTACAGCCTTTCCTTGAATACATCTGGTGGTGGGCATTTGTTTCTAAGAAACACAAAGTAATTACTAACAATTATCTTTATTTTTAAAGCTCCTCTAATGAAATTGAGATCTGATATCTGTTTCACTTTGCCCATTTGAACTAAATGGTGCGATGACCCCTCACAGACAGCCCTTCAATTCCTGTGGCAGGCGGCTCCCAGCACTGCCTTTTCCTATCCAAGTGGCAAAACACATCCAGGTTCTTCAATACTTTCAGATGCTAGGATTCTAATGAATACTTCTATAAAGTCAAGATTTGTACCAGTTTTTCAACTGATACTAATCAAAACACAGTATGTACATTTCTACTGAGTTACCATTTCTCTTTGACTAAAAAGGAAGGGGCCCTCTGTCACACAGCTTCTCCTCCTATTGAAAATCTTTCAAAAACGTCCTTTGCTGTTTTGAGAAAAGGTGAGGGCAGCAATCCTATGACAATCTCTGGTGAAGCTTCTTTCTTACCAGCTCTACATAGCACAGCTCTAACGGAGCTGCCAGAGCATGTCTATTTCTGTGTGTTTATTTCCCACACTGGTCTAAGTTCCTTTATAGGAAAGGAAATACCTGCATTAATTTTAAAGGAAATAGTAAGGAAAGGTTAAAAGACTATTCCCAATATTTTAGAAAAAGTTCAGCTCAATTGCTTTTCCTTTAATGCCCCTCCCAACATTCATATAAGGGGACCGAGTTCCAACATGAACCTGAGTTCTAACAATGTTCAATTACTTTCTCATAAACTATTTAGGATGCTGCGTTAGGGATGTCTTCGTAAGCATCTGTTTGTTTAATCACATATTATTTGGGCTAATCATTACTGACGTAACTGAGAGATGGCAAAAGTAGATATGAATCAATACTTAAAAGTAACATCAGTTATAGATTCCACCAAACCAGGATAGGCCAGAGTAGTTTAAAACTTAGATTGTATTAAATAATCTTTGATTTCCTTCTTTAAAAACAGGCAACAAGGAGCCACATTCCCAGCACTTGCCAGGGGTGACAAAAGAACGAGTGTGTTCCAGACGTCGGGATGACAGTAGGCAGATAGGCAGAGCCGCATCAGGTACTCTCCAGTACTCACCGATGCCATCTGGAATTGTTTCCAGTAAGTTCTGGGAAATGACTAAATCTGTTAAAGAAGTCAGGCCACTGATTTCTTCAGGAAGTCTTTCCAACCTGTTCTCAGAGACATCTAAGCATAGCAGGCTCTTCAGATTCCCGATTTCCTGCATTAACGAATGGTATAGAAAGGGAAAGTCATGTTTAAAGTTGTCATACCACAAAGGAATTTGTTATCATGGTTTTTCACAATCAAATCCCAGTTCTGCATTAGAGAAGAGGCCAAAAGAATGTAAGAGTCAGAGAATGGGAGGAGTGATGTGAAATGTCTTTGGGACATGATGTGATACTCATGAACTACCATCAGCTGGGGCTACCTACATAAAACCTGCATAAGATCAAGGTGGTTTTAATTCCAGCAGAGATAGGGCAGGGGCTCACAAAGCCCCACCCCAAACCAAGGAGCTATTGGAAGATGATGGCTGTTAGGGTAAGGAGGGTCACTTATCTTTAGGGGTATGGCCCATGGTAGATTGTCCATGCTCTAGTGATGGCCTCACACCCATGCGCACATGGGTAACACTAATAGGAATCAGTGTGTTAAAAGAAGAGGACATAATGTTGGGAGGAGGGTCGTAGGGGGATGAGAGGAGTTAGAGGATGGGAGTAGAAGGTGGATGTAAGCAAAATACATTGCACATGTGTAGAAATTCTCAAAGAATAAAAAATACTTTAAAAACCTCAGTTCTAAGGATGCTTCTTCAGCGTGTGTGCGTGCGTGCGTGTGAATATACAAGTAAATTTCTAGAGCCCATTCCAATGAAAATGAGAAGCCGTTTGGATCACAGACATGGAGCTTGAAGGACACAACTCCTCCACCTCAGGAGATCAAGAAATGATTGTCACTTCATAGATGGAGATATGGCACCAAGAGAGAGCAAATGACTGCAAGGTCACACAGTTAGGAGGAAAGGGAGACTGGAGTCCAGTTTTCTATGCTTGGAATCAATCACTCCCAAGTATCTTCACACTGTAGGGTAACCTGGAATGTCCTCTGATAAAACACCATCTACTTTAGCTTTCCTGTGCTTGTCAGCATTAACTTCAAAGCAAGAGCTCCTCAGCAGAACTGTAACCCAGAGACCCACTGATATCCTTAACATTAAACAGAAAAGAGAAACTTACTACTCCTAGAAAGAATACTCTACTGAGGACTGGGAAAAGCTCTTCAGCAATTCTACCATTTTATTCAGCTCACCCTCATCCCCAGACTGCACATTTTCTTTCCCAGTGCTTTCTATACACCTCCCATCCTGCTTCCCCATGCTGAACTCCTTGTACTACCTCCCTACTTTGATGCTAATCTTTGTCTCCTAGAGGCCGGTCTTTTTTTTTCCTTTTGTTTTTGGATTCCTGAGATAGGCTCTGGCTAAATAGTCCTGATAAGCCTGGAACCTGCTGTGTAGGCCAGGCCGGCCTAGAACTTGCCGGGATCCTGCTGCCTCTGCCTCCCGAGTGCTAGGATGACAGCTGTAGGCCAGCAGGCCCAGCTTGCATCCCAGTCTTGACTCCTCCTTTCCAGGCTCATTCTATAAAGTATGCTTCCTAACTTCCAGCTTGAAGTCCAGTTGGTCAAATAATGTAAGCACACCACCCTTCTACCCATAAAACACAGTCTACACATGCATGCATTCCTCAGTCTGTACTTACCTTCGATAAAATCTTTCCAGTTTATTCCTGTCTGATGCCTCCTCACCTTGCCCCTGTATTTCCTGTCTCCATTTCTCACCATTGCTGAGCAGACACCTGCAGTTACTGCACTTTTCACTAACTCCTCTTAACATTTGTGTGCTTTTTCTTTACATAACCAAGGAAGACAGGAAAATAATTCTGACAGGCTTAAAGTATGCTTAGTCTTGGTTTAGTGCAAGTTTATACTATTAGGCAAATGAAGACTTTTGAATAATCATTTATAACATGACCCACTGGAGTTCTGACTCCTTTATATTTAGAATGCCCATGCCAGATTGGTCATTCATACACATCTGCATACACGTATGCTGTCACATCAGATGGCTGATTTATTATAGTCCTGATACTCCATGGTATCCCCCAACCCTAGTGTTCTCTAAGTCAGGATTTCCCATATGTTCCTAGTGAATTCCCAAGTATTAGTCAGAGGCTACCCACAAGGTATTGATCTTTCTCCCTTTCCAAAATGCATCCCAAATCTCAGAAATAGAGCCTAATTAGTTCGTTTCTTAGTTCCATTAGTCATTAGGTGGCATCATGGTAACCCTGGTGCTCTAACTGACAATTAAAATTTTACTTGAGTGCTTCCTTTCTTGTCAGACTTCCTGCCTTGATCTGGCTCTCCCCACCCACAGCTCATGGTCCTCTCACTACTGGGTCGCACAGTGAAGTGGGCAGCATCCAAACTATTTTAAAATACGAACATCCACACCATGAAACGCACAGTCCATAGACGTCAAAGAATCAAGTCTGTGCTAGAGGAAAGGGAAGAAAGGCCTGCTGTGCTGGGAAGAACGTCTTTAGGTTCGATCCACCTGAGCATGGACCTGCCTGCTGGACCCACCCTCAAGGTGACCGAGTACTCAGGAGTATGTCCCAAGCCCATTTCATTCAGAACCTTGTTTGCACTCTTAGCAACAGTAGAGACAAGTCTGAACACCAGGGCACACCAATTCAGGCCATGAGTGCTATGTAGGAAAAATAAACAAATAAGAGCTCTTAGTACTGCTTTTATATTAACTACCATGGGGCAAAACGTGCAAAGCTATCCCAAAGCACTTTGGCACATCACTGAGAGTAACAGAAATGTATACTATCAAAAACACGGGTCTTGGTAATTTATAGATCTGCTATGGGCCTCAAAGGTAAAATCAAGGACAGACGTCATGGACAAAAGGATATGTTTCCTGTCTTTAAGAGATGGTGAGCTGAGGTTTTCGATTTTCCTATGGAGAATGATGACTACTCAAGATATTTTCCCAAATGTGTTTTACCAATAATGCTTCTGGTTTTAGAGATCCATGTATAGAGGCTCCAAAGAGAAGCAGGGTGCGCACATGGTTAAGTGTTGTTGCTCTACAGTGGGGGAAACACCGTAAAACTCACATTTACCTGAGGTAATTCAGATAGCTGATTTCCATCCAACCAGAGATCCTTCAGATGTAAGAGCGCGCCAATTGATTCTGGCTGAAACAAAATGTGATGTTACAGTAGCAAGGACACAGACCTCCAGCCTCCACTAAAGGAGAAATACCCACCAGATGGGAACTGGGAGCCACAGCAGATGTTCACTGTTACTTCTCCAATATCAAGCCTCTTAAAGTGCCCCAAACTTTTCCCCAAGAATTTCAAACATCTCTACTTAATGCTCAAATCTCTAGCTCTGACTTTGCCCATACCCAATCATAATTCTTAACCAGTGCAAATTAAAACACATCGACAATGTGCCTGAATAGTATGTGAAGACACACATCCCTGCAAGACATTTCATAATCATAACTGAGGACGAAGAAATATCAACTCTCCTTGATACAGACTTACCAAATTATATATTTCATTGTTTCCTAAATCAAGTTCTTCAAGTCTCCGTAGTTGGGTAAGAGAGCTATTCAAACAATCAACAACAAAAATAATGCTTAGAGAAGGCTAAGACATGCAGAGCAATATACTATTCCTTTCTTAAACTAGTTTCTAAAAACCATGGTTCATTTGGATTTTGTGGGACACACTGCACAAAGTGACCCACTTAGTCCCTTCACACATCCCTTCTGGTTCCCCAGAGACTCACTCAGGAAGATACGTAAGAAGATTCTCTCTCAGTTCCAGTGAAGCCAGGTTATAAAGACTATAAATGAGAAGAAGAAAACTGTGTCAAGGAAATGCCTGAGGTTCTTCTGAATTTCCCTTCATCGCCCACACACTCCACAAGGAGTTATTCTTAGTAAAACCTTTCATGTCACTTCCCAAGATAAAAATACCGCCACCTCCAACCTCCATTAAATCAACATAACTTTTACTTCCTAATTTAATATAATGACATGAATAACATTAAAATAAGTATAGAGAGTTACGGCTACAGGGTACCCTCAACTATGTCATACATGAGACACATGGAAATAAGTCAGTAGCCGTTAAAAGACAATCACTCCCCAGACTAAGATAGAAGCCAAATACAGCCCTCTCATCATCAGAATGTTGGAAATGTGCTGTTGTAAGAACACTGGCCCTTTTCTTCTCAAGGAGCTTGGAGCTCTGCTTCTACTGTCAGTGGAAGATCATGCTTTTATTAGTAAGGTACCTTGAACGGGACTCATTTCCCAGCACTAAAAGGGAGGCTGAGTTGGTAAAGGCACGCACCGCCAAGCCTGAAGAGCTTAGTTTGTTCCCCAGGACCCACATGGTGGAAGGACAGAACCGACTCATGCAAAATGTCCTCTGACCTCCGCATGTGTGACCTGGCGCACCCATTCCCCAAATAAATAAATAAATGGAATTTGAAAATTAAGGTAGGATGCCTCATCCACACAGAGCACTTGATGTACTTCAGGTCATCATCCCCAGCTTAATACACTGGGGATAATGCAATGACACACCTTGCACAATACCAAATATGGGACTGATCCAATAAACTGTAGGTCCGCTGCTGCTGCTTTTACCCTGACTAACCCTGGAACGGTGCTCTCTGCAGCAGCCTCCCGCCTCTCGGATATAACTGAGTCCATCTGTAGCACTGTGGGGGTGAGACAGCTGTTCTCCCCCCATAATGATTATCTAGGTCAGCTTCTGCCAGGCGGCGACAGTGTCATATCATTAGGAGTCCACCCCTACAAATACACACACACTGCTAGCACAGCACAGATTCTGAAAAGAAGTGTCTACTCCTCAGCTCACGGGTACCTCAGCAACATGTCGACCCCAAACTCACTTTACTGATATCATCACTTCAGTAACGTCTTGATTTGGAAAAATTTTATTTCTGAGACTACAGGAGTCAGACATCATACCAACACTCTAATCCACCTTAATTCTCTACATTCTATCTTTCAAAAAAAAACAAATTCTAGGATCATATGTACCAAAAAGGTGATTTTATAACATCAGAAAGCATAAATTTAAGTAAACAGTCCTTCTGTCTATACAGATGCACATTTGTACATACACAGGCTTAACATTTGTTTGCTGAAAATATATTTTAACTACACGATGGATTGTATATATTCTGTATCTCATCCAATTAAAAAACGGAATAGTAGTTTTCATTATAAAGGCCAAAGCAAATACAGCAATTTCAAAACTACATGATTTAAGAAAACCAAAATCTGTGCTGGAGAAATGACTCAGCAGTTAGTGCACTGGCTGCTTTTGCAGAGGACCTGGGTTTGATTCCCAGCACTAACATGGTGGCCAACAACCATCTTTAACGCCAGTTCCAGGGGACTGGACGACCTCATCTGACCTCTGTGGTCATTGCATGACATGGGTGCACTTACACACACGCAGGCAATACACTCATACACATAAAATAAAATAAAAATATAAATAAGATATTTAAAGAAAGAAGAAAACCAGTCCTTGCTTATAATAAGCAATCATGGATTTAATAACAGCATTTTTTCAAATGAAATAGAGCCATTGGAAAGCTGCAGGTCCAGTTTTACTCTCTCGACCAGATGTTCATGTGAACTGTACCAGCACTGAGACAGTGAGCGGTGAGGGTTCAGCACCCAGGACCTATTTGCACAATGATAATAATTACACTTGAAGGGGAAAAGCCGATTTTTGGTGCTAAGTATTTATGTTATTCCAACCATGTTGCTTTTTTTTTTTTTTTTTTTGAGAGGTGTTAAGCCCTTATCTATTTTTACATTTAGGTTTTTTAAAAATCCTGAGTTAGATTGCCATTTTACCTGTTCAACATTCACGATGCTCATACTCACTTTGACAAACTAAGGACATCTACTGAAACAGGGAAGAGATTCCTTGGTTTGTTTATTTTTAAGAACTTTATTGGACATCAAATGTACTTTAAGATTTTTAAAAATTGTTTTTTTAAAAAAATGCAATTATGTGTATTGGGGTGTGCATGTGTGAGTGTAAGGGCTCACAGAGGCTGAGGAGGGCGTTGGATCCCCTGGAGCTGGAATTACAGCCATCTCTCCAGCTGATCAAATTCGTTTTAAATGACAGTTTTACTCAGGTTTTGGATGTATGTTGTACCAAGTTTCTGCAGCCTTGATCTGAGCATCTCCCACCTGAGCCCCAGAAGGCAGCTAGAGAGAGGGGCTGTGAGAGGCTCTGTCCACACCTCATCTCATTTAGTCCATGACGGTCTGCATGCAAGTTGGACTTTAAAACCACCTCTCATCCTCCAGTGCATACAGAAACCCATCTCCTTCATTCAACCAAGAGACACTTGCAATTAAAGTAAGACTCATATTTTAAAGTTCTCAATAATTACTGCACAAGGCATACACGGTTACCATGCACATCTAATATCCAAGCAAAAATACTGCTAAAAAACTACAGACATAAGGCAGAGTTCCCAACTTCGGCATAGCCACACCCAAAACATCTCTTAGTTTCTTTTGTTTAAGTGAGGAAAATGTGAATAGAGAGGTACTACACTCAACAGTAACAGCAACAAGAATGTAAGTGAGCTATTTTTTTAGACAGAGTCTCACCAGATTGCTCAGGATGGCTCAAAGCCTCTGCCATTCCTGCCGGAGTCTGGATCACAAGTAAAGAGCATCCCACCCAGAAGAACAATTATACTTGCAAGCTTAGAAAACTAAAAGTTAATACATACACAAAACAATGGCCTTTCTGTGGCATGGTTCCAAACTATTAAAATGATGTCAAATAAAGAAACTTGGACATTATTATCAGACTCTACAGACTCGTGATAAATGCCACTCTATGTCTGCGAGGCTCAAATCCTGGCTTGTTTGCCTGAGATACTTCATTACTGGATCTCAGTGTCCCATAAAATATATTATCTATGATGGTAATTATGGCTTAATATATTTTCCTTTCAAATAAACAGAACTAGCTTTTCAAAATCTTACTTCCTGAAAACAGCCCTTGTCTATAAGCACAGTTAGGCCCCTTAAGAGAACACGAGAGGAGTCACTGTCTGCAGGAAGCTCACAGAAGTCGTGCCCCCATTGAAATCACCAGAGAGGACAGATCCATGAAGGTGAGTTGCTGGCAGGCCATTTTTAACCTAACATACATTGTCTAGAACCAGAGTCATAAAACAAGGGATGGAAAACAATGCAAAGGCTTTGGCTAAAGGCTCCCTCCTCCTGTCTGAGCCTAAGCTTTAGAGTATGATCTGGACAAGCCACTATCAGTCAGAGCATAAGAGGCAGACTTGAAACCATGGGACTGATTCTTACAGCATCTTCTCTTGGGCCATGATAGACAAAAGCCCAGGGCCTTACCAACCCAATGTGGAACATGACTCTCCAGACTGCTGTAATAACAGTGGACATAGCATAGGACCTGTGTAAGTGAAATCAGAGCCGAGACATTGACACAGAAACGAACAACCTCTTTCTTCATCATAAATAACATTAGGACTGTTATATAACTCATATAACATTAGTCTGTTCCCATCAAGGCAGCACATTCAATTCATTTCAAATACCTTTTCACCTCCTATAGGACCTAACAATGGATGAGCAGCTAGCTGTGAGGTGTTGCCAGACTGGGGAGGGATCTTAACCAAATTCTCTGAACCTCAGAGACTAAATCACTAGGCCAGGAGAGAAGACACAACCAACATGTATCTATCTATTACTTCAGTTAAAGACATAAAAAAGCATGGAGAATTTTAAATAATTTTACAAATGTTATAAAAAATTAGACACTTAAGATACAGTATGAAATTTATCAGTCTTCAATAATCCTACTACTAATGACACTGGCAATTTTCTATAATGGCATATTGTTATAACTTCTTTAGAAGAACTAACAATATAGAGAAAAAGCTAAGGCATGGAGATAGAACTTGAACAAGGTCTCACATAACTGGTGAGTGGAAAGGCCCAGATTCACCAGAAATCTGCATTCCAACTACTTTGGAATGTTACATCTCACTTTGGACTTTGCAAGTTAACTTTGTGAACTGTATAGTTACACATCCTTTTAGAACCATATATTTACCACAAAGTTTTCCTTCTATACTTATGGCCTACCAATCCATCCTCATGTGAGATTAACTTTTAAAAGACTATAAATATTTAACTAGAATTTCCCTTTATGCAAAGACAAGCAGGTATGAATACAAAGTCTTTTAAAAATTATTTATTTTTTAAATTTATGTTTATGTGTGTGCGCCTACATGAGTTTATGTGCATCATGTATGTGCAGGTGCCCACAAAGGCCAGAGGAGGGTGTCAAATCCCTTAGAACTAGACTTCCACAGTTTTGAGCTGCTTGGTGTGGGTGCTGGGAACTGAAGTCAGGTCCTCTGGGAGAGCAGAAAGCATTCTTAACCACTAACCCATCTCTTCAGCTCCCAGTCTGTTTTCTTTCTTTAACTAGAATGGGCACATTCTACATACATGTACTGCATTGCTTTCTTTGATGAACAGATTTTCATCTCCTTTTTTACCTTGTACATACTGGTACTTTTAAAACAGGTGCATGGTATTTCACCATCTACATACACATTAATTTTTCTTCTTTTGGTCTTTTTTGAGACAGGGTCTCCCTGTAGCTTCAGCTGTCCTGGAACTCACTATGTAGACCAGGCTGGCCTTAAACTCACAGAGATCCGCCTGCCTCTGCCTCCCGAGTGTTGGGATTAAAGGCGTGTGCCACCATGCCTGGCGATACATT